TGAAACTCCCTAAGCATGGTGCCCCTAGAGCCCGTAAAACAAAGCCAACCCTACTGATGGTGAATTGATTCCCACTCATAGCAATTTTCCATCTTGTTTCTGAGGCTCTAGATCTTCCTAGGAGGAGACTACTGGTGGATTTGAACCCACTGACCTTCCAGTTAGCAGTCCAGTGTGTTAAGCAACATTCTGTCAGAAGTCACCTCTGGGTGACCTAGTGGGAAAGAATTGTGCTGTGAACCAAAAGGCAGTCCATTTGGATCCATCAGCTTCTCTGACAGAGAAAGATGAACATTTCCCTGCCATATGACTTGTTGTCATTGTTCAGTGCCATCAAGTTGAGTATGACCTATAGCCATTCTGTGAACAAAAGATCTGAACCCTGTCCTATTCTGTGCCATCCTCATGCTTCCTGACACACCACAGCCCATTGTGGCAGTCACTGTGTTAATCCACTTGGTTGAGGGTCTTCCTCTCTTTGGCTGACCCTCCACCCTTCCAAGCATGTTGTCCTTCTCCTAGCAACATGCCTGAAGCCTCATCATCCTTGCCTCCAAAGAGCATTCTGGCTGCACCATCTCCAAGACATATCTGTTTGTTCTTTGGGCTGTCCATGAGGTAGTCAGTGCTCTTCTCTAGCACCACAGCTCAAAGGCATCAGTTCTTTTTTTGTCATCCTTATTCCCTGTGCAGCTCTCAAATGGATAGTAAGTGATCAGAAAGATCATGGCCTGGATCAGATGCATGATTCAGATTGATTTCCTATGTGATTTACTGCCTCTGAAAACCCACCAGACAGTCACTTATGTGACAGTTCCCCCTCTACTCCATGTAACAAGACATACGTGCCACCAGAGCCCTTGCTCACAGTACAACTTACCTATTCTTAAGAAGAAGAAAAAAATTAAAGTGGGGCATTATGATGTTGTTGAGTACCATTGAGTCAAAACTGACGCATAGCTGACCCTCCAGCGGGTTTTCAGAGGCTATTAATCACACAAGAGGATGCTCATACTTCTTCTGAAGAGCAGCTGGTGGATTCAAACCCTGTGCCTTCAGGATGCAGTGTAGCTTCTTACCATTAAGTCACCAGCTCACAATACAACTTACCTATTTAAAAAAGGAAAATAAAAATCATTGTGAATAGAAGAAGTTTCCGTCAGTGGACAAATGACTAAAGAAGCTATGGGACGTTCACATAGTGGAGCATTATGTATCATTTAGAAACTGTCAAGAATTCTCAAAACACTACACAACATGGATGAATGAAGCACATATGTAAAGGCAGTCACAAATGGATATCTCAATATAAGACCTCTGACAGAAAAGCTAAGGAAAGGTATAACAGGATCAATTTTGAAATGTTGGGGTGAGAAAGGAGGGAGAGGGAGTTAAAAGTAATGAATAGATATGTTAGTTAGGTGAAGGGAAGGACAGTGTACAATCAGGGAGTGTTTGTTGTTTTGTGCCATCAAATCAGAACCGACCCATAGCTGACCCTCCAGCGTGTTTTCAGAGGCAGTTAACACTCGGGAGGAGATTGCCCTTTCTTCTCCCATGCAGCAGCTAGTGGATTTGAACTGCATGCCTTCGGGATTGCAGCACAGCTTCTTGCACTAGGCCACCAGAGCTCCCTCAGGGAGTGATTAGTTATTGTCATGAATTAATTACATGTATCAATTGTAACTATTTATCAAAAGCAATGTATTATCAATGATTGAATGAAAGGTACTATGTTCCGTAAGTTTTTACTAAAAAATTTTAAAACAGATTTTTTTTTTTTAAATTTTATTGGGAAAAACATGTTGGGGATACACGGAGGTGAGGGTTGGGAGCAGAAGGGTGAGGATGGGCAGGGATGAAAATTGCAGGGATGCAGTTACGAGGCTGCACAATTTGGTTGGTGTGGGGAGCAGGTGAAGGAAATGAAAAGGATCCAGTGGGGACCAGATGATACAGGGCAATGATAAGCATAGTCCAGTGGTGGTTAAACAAACTGTCTTTTTCACTTGTGGGTTTCTCATTTGGGAATTGAGCACAGACTCTCTGGCTTCTTCATGCTGAACAGGGGCATTGATATGAAGGGGGAAAGGGAGGACATTTTATCACCTTGCTGATGATCTTGGATTGATGCTGCTTGACTTCTTATTCTGTTAGAAGATGTTTTCCTGACATTTACTCCCCTGGGCTGCAAAGTGTTTTCCCAGGTGGGTCCACTGGGGGTGGCTGACTGAACCCTGAGGCTCCATCCTCCTTTGCTCCTTTAACTGGCCGTTGTATTTCCTTTTTGTCTCTGGAACTGGGTTCAAGGTCAGGTCTGGAGTAAAACTCAGTGTTAAGGTTACCTATAAAAAAGGGAGCAAATCTAGAGAGAACAAACTACAAATAGAAGGGCTTTGAGGGTGTTACTTACTTGTGTAGTGGGGGAGAGGGTGGAGGAAAGTAGCCTCAATAAAATTCTCTGTATACCCTAGGCAGTTTTTTCTACCCAGGGGTCGGATGGTACAATCCAGGGGCTGAGGAGCTCACCCTGAGGGCTGGCTCGCCCCACTGGGTGCTGAACGCACAGCTCGCCCCTCCGCGCACCTGGGGCCGAATGCATGGCTCACCCCGCCACCTGCCGGAAAACAGATTTTTAAAAAAATTTTTTTAAAGGGATTGCATTTAAAACAGAATCAAAATTGTTAGCTATAGTTGAGTGAGCTGTAACTCATGACAACACAGGATACAGTTGAACTTGATACCCAATTGCTGATATGCTCAACTCCACTGTCATTGACCACTGTGTATTTTGAGGGCCTTTCCACCCCAGCGGGTCATCTTTTAGTAGTCTGTCAGACAGTGTTTATTTGTTAGTCATAGAGTTTTTATTGACTAATTTTTTAAAAGCTTTTCTTCCAAGTCTGCCTTAGTCCGGAAGCTCATCTGGTGACCCTGATGATATTGGAAATGTGTTGGCTTTAGTTCTGGCATCATAGCAACAGACAGTACAACAAATTAGCAAACCAGAGGCAGTCTCAAAGAATCAGAATCCTTCAAATGTATCACCATCAGAGAAAGGAAACGCAAATTAATCTCCCTTCCATTTTAGAAATAACTTTAGAGATTTGTAGTGATTATGTAGGGCCCTCTTGACTATCAATTGATGAGTGCAGTTACACAGAAATATCAAATTAGAACATTCCCGCTGACACAATTTCTTTTTCTGGTGATTGTACTCAGGTTTAGATTATCTGTATAAATAAACCTCTCAGATTAGTTTTCTCATCTAATTTTCTTTTCATGTTTGGCGTGTGAAACAGAAATTTACAGGCAAAAACCCATATTGTACTTTGCGCATCTGTTATGACGTCTTTGTAAAAGTGGATTTCAGCTGCTTATCTGTGACCACCTTCCCTCACCTAAGAAAAAGAAAATCCCTGAGGATGAGCTTTCTATTATCCTGTAACTCTCAACTTCTTCCTCTCTGGTCTCCCCAGTAAATTGAAATTCCACTGAGCAGACACAACAACTTGACGTTTCTCTAGCTGCAATTCCTTTGCACAAGATTACAACCTTTAGAAGCCCCGTTTACCTCAGTTTGCTATCTTCTGGTGGCTCGCATGTTACTCTGATACTGGAACCCAGGAAGGCATCGATATTTTAAATACTAAGGAGGTCATCCAAGTATGTCTTGGAGAAAGTGCAACCAGGGTGCTCTTTAGAGCCAAGGATGGTGAGATTTGATCTTACATACTTTGAGCATGTTGGCAGGAGGGGCCTGTCCTTGGACAAGGACATGCTGGGAAAGGTGGAGGGTCAGAGAAAGAGATAGACTCTCAACAAAATGGATTGACAATGTGATTACACAAATGGGCTAAAGCATATCAGAGATCATGAAGATGACACCGTATGAGGCAAGGTTCGGATTTGTTGTTCATAGAGTAGCTATGAGTCGTAGGCAGTTCCATGGCTGTTAAGAACAACAAGGATCATCCATAGTGGACAGATGATAGCAAAGCTTCTAAATTAAGAAAAAACTCCAACTCCTTTCTGTTAAGTTGGAATTGGCCCATAATTGACCCTCCATTAGGTTTTCAGAGGCTTTTAAAAAACATTAAGAGAGGAGATTGCCCACCTTTCTCCCTTGGAGCAACTGGAGGATTTGAACTGCCTGCCTTTGAGTTGACAGTTCACCTCCTTATCCACTAGACCACCAGAGCTCTACACTGACTAGAGAAAAATGTCCTGACCATGTATTTCTGAACATGAGCCAATGAAAACCCTACAGAATGTAGCAGAATTTTAACCAATATAGTGCTTGAAGATGGACAGCCTAGTTTGGATGCACTCATTACTCTTGAGTCTGAATGGACCCACCCTCCATTGAGTTTCCAAAGCTTATAAATTGCGCAGAAGGAGAATGGCCATTTTTCTCCCTTAGAGTCTCTGGTGGATTTGGATTTGTGACCTTTGGATTAACAGCATAGCTCCCTATGGACTAGGAAGAACTTAAATTATACAGTGGTTGCAACAATAGGCTCAGCCCTCCAGCAACCATGAAGATGACGTAGGCCCAGGCAAGCTTTCGTTCTGTTGTGTATGAAGTCACTGTACGTCTGCGCTGACTCAACACAACTCAAAACAGCAACCTCTCTCAGAAGGTTTTGGATTCGAGAATTTTTGGCGAGGAGAGATCCTTCCATCACCCCTCACTAAAAGCAGAAACCCTGCCAAGTGACCTCTTGGACCTTGGCTTTAGCTATTCCAGGAGGAGAGAGCACCCAGGACCACTTGGGCAGGGTGCACAGCCCAAGGCACAGTGGGAGCCCAGTTGGTAAGGGCCTCCTCTGACTTGACCCTCACCTCCACCTCACTGGAGACTCTGCCCTAAGAGCAACCTGCGTCCGCTCGTCCTGCCTTCTCAGCGTGCTCCTAAGGATTAGAGAGGGAGAGCGCACACAGCGAATCTTGGTGTGCTTTCAGCAGTCTGACATATGGCCATTTCTCCTTTTCTGCAGCAAAACCAGAAATCCTGACTTCTGACAGGCTCGTGAATGGCAAGCTCCGATGTGTGGCTGAAGGATTCCCAGAGCCCGTAATAGAGTGGTATTTTTGTTCAGGAATTGAGCAGAGGTGAGAGATGGTTATTTTTGGCAGTGCTTAACTTGCAAAAGGGAGGGACTGCAATCCAGTTGAATTTCAGATGGTTTTCAGAATTTTCTTTTTTAAAAAGCTTTGTTTTGATGATGATGATTTCCTCCCCCCTCCCTGTTCATGTTGCTTTTCAAGAGGGGGAAATTGCTTTATTTTTCCTGCTCGACATTAATTTTGTTTGCCAAGAAAAGATGACTGAGTGACTTCTCTCTTTGGTGGTTATCTCGTTGGATTTATCATGCAATTTCTAGCCTGCAGGTAGATAAAGCAATTTTGCAGGACCAGAATAATTAGATTTCCATTCGACACACAGGAGGTAATGTGTGTGGGGAACGTGACCGTGGCTATTACGAAGAGAAATTACCACAGAAGTTAATTGCCAAGTTACCAAGAAGTAATGATCTCACAATTACCACTTACATATGGCATTTGCAAGCAACGTGTTTGGAAAAGGTTTGCTCCTTGATTAAGGGACTGGCCCCTGAACAGATTACATCTGGTCACTGTACCTCCTGGCCCTACACTGAAACCTTAAATTGTCTTTTCACATTACCTGAAGATGAAAAACGGGGTCAGCTTTGCTGTTACCATACACTAAATGCTGTTTTGTACTCAGGCTTTCAAGGCCCAGTTTGACCTCACAATTGAATGGGGC